ATGGACAGGCAGGTACTGGCAAATCAACCAGACATCGTGGTAGTAGACAAAGAACAGAAGACAGCAGTGGGGATAGATGTCTTAGATGTGCCAAGTGACAGCAACATCAGGAAGAAGGAGCATGAGAAGCTGGAGAAGTACCAAGGCCTGAAGGAGGAACTAGAGAGAATGTGGAAAGTAAAGGCCAAAGTGGTCCCAGCAGTGGTAGGAGCACTCGGGCAGTGACAGTGGCTCCACAGTGACAGTGGCTCCACAGATCCCAGGAACAATATCAGAGCTCTCTGTACAGAAGAGTGTAGTGCTAGGAACAGCTAAGATACTGCGCAGAACCCTCACGCTCCCAGGACTCTGGCAGAGGACCTGAGATTGAGGAAGACACCACCCATAGGGGTGAGAGGGGAATATATATATGTATGTATGTATGTATGTGTATATGTATGTACGTGTATATGTATGTATGTATATGTATATACATATACATACATGTATGTATGTATATACACATGCATACATATACATATATACATACACACCAAAATATTCTGGTGGTTCAACTGAATCTGGGGTTTGGCAAAGAAATGGAAAGAAATGTCTAATCCTGTTGTTAAAAATTGGTCCAGGAGACATGTTTGTTATTAATTTCTGAATGTCTATGTGTACTTTTTATTGTACTGTTGTCTTACTTTTTTGGGGTTATATTTAGCATGAATTAATAATTGGGAGAGCAAATATATAGGTCACCATATCAGGAATAGCATAGAAAACTGCACAGGTTACATTTAAAGAGATTCTGCATGTGAATAACAAATTTGACGACCACTTCAAGATCAGCACATCTCATGTCAGTGTCAACCTTTGTAAAGGTTGCCTTTATTGTTTCAGAGAAGGTTAAAATTACTTGCCTTTCTGTTCAGCATGATTTACTGGTGACAAAGTGGCTGGGGTCAGGACGACATTCCTATTTGTTTCTCTTTCTTCTTCTTGATTTTCAGAGCTGGGTTTGAATGACTTCTCTGCCTGAACTGCTGCTAAATGAGTTCCAGAATGATAAGAGAGACTTCTGTGTTGTTCACTAGAGAGCATCTCTGGAGCATCTGTGAAAGAATCTCCAGCTAAAAGATGTTCAGTCTGAGTAGAATAATCTTGGCAATCAGAATCTTCCTGAATATTTTCAGACATTTTCTGAACATCAGCACAACTTTGAAAATCATTAACTTGATCTAATTCTTCAGTATCCAAAAGAGGCAACAGAAATACTTTTCCCCCTTTGCTGCTGGACAATAAGGGCTCCTTTTTTATCGCAAAGCCAAATGAATTTGCCATAGATTTAATGTCACCTGGAATGATGAGCTTCTGTTCCAGTTCTCCAGCTATTAGTGTCATGACTGATTTTGTCTGTTTCTTTTTCATTCCTTTAGACTCTGAAATACTTAGTGGAAGATTTTTGTTTGACTGTATTACTGATTGTTGACCTTGAATGTCTTCTATGGAAACCTTAGCAGAAATGTTATTATTGCTATAGCCACTTGATAGCCTTTTGGAAAGCAAAGAATCTTGATGAAGAGTTACTTTGATTGGTAATTTTTCATGTTCTTGAACTTGTTGGTCTTTGCTTCTTAGAACCTCACAACCAAAGCCATCTTTTTCAAAGGTAATGTATTCCTCACCTCCTTTTTGGGTTGTTGGAGTCTCAGTGGGTCTATATTTCTCCTTTTGAGCTTGACAAGAATTCACAATAGAATGCAAGTCTTCCACTGTCACCTGCCCCATTTCTTTACTGTTCTTCATGTATTCTAAATAATTGTCCATTAAAAAAGCATTGCTCAGTTTTCCCTCTTGTTTAGCATGACACACAATCACATCATGATCATATGAAGCAAAAGCAGAACAGCATGAAGATTTAAGACCTCTGAGATTACCAAACAATGATGTGAAACTTGAACAAGGTTTTGTGCAGCTGATAGGTGTATTTGTACTCATTCTATAAGTAGTTACTGCTTTGACAGGTCTGGACAGGAGTTTTAAGGATAAAGATGGCATGGAATAAAAACCCGAGTCTCTTCTAAGCTGAGGCAATGACAATGCATCGATAGAAGTGACTGGGAAAGAATATCTTCTTATGCTTTTTGATTCCTTGGATGAAATTAGCATAGGAGTCCCTGTTTCAAGAAAGCTGTTGTTCCTTATTTGTAGCAGATTATTCATCTCTCCATTATGTTTCTTTTTAAACTGGATTTCTTTGGAACTGTAATTTTCTTGTGGAGTTTTTCCAGAATAGCTAAATTCTGAAAAAGTTATTTCTTTATAAAAATCGTTTCCCTTTGTGCAGTCCTTCATTTTCTCTTCACAGGAAGCATTTTCTTTTTCCCAGTTTAAGGTAACTGAGTATGTATCTGGTACATTCATACTGCTTGTTCTTCCTAAGAATATAATAATCTCAGTTGTAATATCTAAGTGGCTTCCTCAGTCAGCAAATGAAGTTGGAGGAGATGTAAGAATGTATTATTCTGGACTTACACAACCTAAAAATGTTTTTCCCAAAATTTAACTCAAAGCCAAAATTAGACTCAAGCCAAAATTTGACTCATAATTTGAATGGCAAGATATGTTAATGACAAAGTAATGTGAAACACAGTATTTTCATATAGTTTCATAACTATATGAACTGCGAGCCCGACCATATTTCCTTTGTCACCAAACTCAAAAGTGACAACTCCTTTCTATCAGTATATTTTCATTCCCTCCAATACTTATTTTTACTGGTGAACTTGAAATTTGGATTGTGTATTTGGATGTTTCAGATTTTTTCAGAAAGGTCAGAAACTCATGGTTTTATGCTATCTGTAATAGTGTCCTTTGTGATGACATCTTTTTCAAAAAGTTTTTTGATTTTCAAGCCACACAATTTCTATAATCAGAAAAAGAAAACAACTTTTCTCATTTCCATATTCAAGGAATCACATTTCACTTCTCTGTACATCCATTTTCTGATGGAAGGGAGTCTACAGAGTTATATTCCTTGTAATATGTTCTTTCAATGCACTTTCTGAGTCATCAGTGTTTACACTGCTACTATATCATTTTGCTGAACAGAAAGAGCCAAGCAGGACAATGTTATCCTTGTTTTCCTTTTTTACACACACATACACACACACACTTTGAAAACAGTGTTATTCTCTTTTCTGCTCTGTATAAGAATGAGGGTTTATATTTTGGCTAGGTGTTGCCAATCGGTTGCTTTGTGAGTACTAGTTTTTCTTGGATCCTCCCCTGTCCTGTTTTCAACAGCTTCAATGTTCTGTTGGCATCAGCAGATGATTGGCAAATACTCATCTGTAGAGTAAACACAAAGGAAGAATTCTGTTACTATTCTGAAAGTAAGAGTGCTTTAACATTTTAGGCTGGTCAGTGATAATTTTAAGTGGGGTACAAAAGGACACAGTGCTTGTAGCGTATCCTGATTCCACTGCAACTCTGACAATTACAACTTGTTGATGTTTGCTTTCTTTTCAAAAGATCTAGGAACCATCCCTGACCGAAGCAGACAGCCTGTACAGCACAGTCACCGTTTGTACGGTTCCCCACCCTTCATTAGGATGCCACCACTTGTAGATTACAGTGGTGTAAAACTGAGGTCATTCAATTCCAATGACATTTGATCATATCTCTCCTTCAAACCAAATGTTCAAATTGAAACTTGGATGAACTGATTCAAGCACCAAATCAAACCAAACACCTTCAGATCACTTTGCAATTCAAAAGCAATTTGCAGATTCAGTCAATTTTCTGGCTTTGCAGAAGTAGGAGAGGTTGAGTGCTGTGAGTGGCTGTGATATTGACATAAATAGCCAGCCAGTTGCAGGCCATTCTT